TAGCAACAGAGTGAGACTCCAACTCAAAAAAAAAAAAAAAAGTGGATTCCTGCCCCTGCCCACTGCTGGGCATGTGACTGAGTGAGAGGCTGGTGTCCTTCCCAGGGCCCTGGGCTGGCACTGCTTGTGGTCTGTCCGTATGTGTGGGTTCCAGGGTAGCCTCCAGTCCCCACTGAGGTCAGCATCTCCCCATCCTGCCCAGTTCCTCTCAGATGTGCTGCAGAGGCACACACTACCGGTGGTGTGCACGTGCTCCCCTGCGGATGTCCAGGCGGCCTTCAGCACCATCGTCTCACGGATACAGAGATAGTGAGTCTGTGCCCCTCCCCAATACCAAGCACCATTGCCCTATTGCCTGTCGAGCCCCTGCACCTCAACCCCTGCCTGTTGCCCCAGGACTGTCCACCACCTGGCTCTGTGCTGGTTCTCAGCAGGCCCACAGCAGGCTCCTCCGGTCTAGTCTTCCCTTGGTTTTGGGCAGGGATACTGCACCACCAGAGGAGCTGCCTGGTCCAGCCCCAGCTGCTGACCCTCAGCCTGGGCTCATCCAGACAGATCCCCCAGCCCTGGGACCTGCTACCTGTGTTCCTGTTCTGGGCAGCTCCATCAGGGTGGGTTGGGCTCAGTGAGAGGACCTGAACCAAGAACAGTTCCCCTGAGGTGTCTGTTCCTCTCTGCCCACCTGGTTGTAGCTGCAACTGCAATTCCCAGCCCCCAACTCCTGTGAAGATTGCAGTGGCTGGGGCACAGCATTACCTCAGTGCCATTCTGCGGCTCTTCGTGGAGCAGCTGTCCCACAAGACCCCCGACTGGCTTGGCTACATGCGCTTCCTCGTCATCCCACTGGGTGAGCAGCTGGGTCGGCCAAGACAGCCGCTTGGGGGTCTCAAGGCTGTGGGACTGAGGCGCTGGTGCCATGCGTCTGTTATTCCCCCATTTGTGTGATGCAGTAGCTCTCTGCTAGTTTTAAGCAAGACTTAATTTGACTGTACTAGAACAACCATCCAGGTCAGGACATAGCTGTCAGCCTCCGACACAGCTGAGCTGGGTGTCACCAGGAGATGTCAGTTTCAAATCCCCTAGGTCCTGTGGAGTTGGACTGTGTTGGTTCTTTTGGTTTGAAAAATTCTTTTTATTATGATACTAGTCTACCCAGCCTTGACCTCTTGGCAAGTAGCGAGACCTAGAAGTGGGGCTCTCTGGTGTACACCATGCAATTAGGGCCATGGGTCCTGGTCTCAACTCCTTCCTCGGTGTTGCCGTCCTCCGGGGCAGGGTGCTGGAGGCAACAGAAGCTGGAGCTGGGCATGCCTGGGAGGCCGGCCAGGCTCCTGCACTGTGGGGAGGGGCCGCAAGACCCTGGGCCTGGCTATGATGTTCTCCCTATGCACAGGTTCCCACCCCGTGGCCAGGTACCTGGGCTCTGTCGACTACCGCTACCACAACTTCTTCCAGGACCTTGCCTGGAAAGATCTGTTCAACAGGCTGGAAGCCCAGAGCGCGGGTGAGGCCCGGGCCATGCGGGAGGGCCACTCGCATCCACACTGCCACCTCCATGGGAGGAGGACCCCTCACCCTCATTCCTGAGATCTCCCCCATGCTGCCTCAGGCCTGGGCTCAGGAAAAAGCCAGTAGACGAGTTTGTGGAGCCTCAGCTGGGTGATTCCCTCTCCCCACCCCAAGCCACAGATTGTTGCACAACTCAGGGCCCATGTAGGAAGGGGCAGGGCACAGGACCCGGGGAGGCCTCCTACAGGGATTGGGAGGCCTTACTGCCCGGCCGTGGCACTGCCATGGGTGCAAGGCGCAGGGCCTCTCAGCTTTGACCAGCACAGCCTGGCTGGACCAGGGTGCAGGAAGCCTGGGGTGAGAAGGCTTAAGCATGGCTTAAGCATGGCTCATCCCACTCTGCCCCTGCTGGAGCCTCACCCAGCCACTGCGGCCGACCCGCCGCCACCTCCTCCTCGTGCAGTGCAGGACACGCCGGACATCGTGTCGCGCATCACGCAGTACATTGCTGGGGCCAACTGCGCCCACCAGCTGCCCATTGCAGAGGCCATGTTGACCTACAAGCAAAAGAGGTAACGTGGGGGACCTGGGCCTGAGGGGGCCCCTGGGGAGGCATCGGCGACACCACAGCCGCCATCAGCCACACCCCCTGTGGCACCCCTGCCCATTGCCAAGCTAGCCAGGCGGCTCTCAGGCTGCCCTGGTGGCAGGAGACTCCAGTTGCCCCCGGTCAGAGCAGGTGGTGTGTGGTCAAACCTGTGTTTTTGTGCGTGTTGAAATCCTGCATGGTGAATGGCTCATAGAACACGGTCCTTGTGGTAGCAGTGACCCAGCCCCTCAGTTCCAGAACCTGTTCCTTATGCCGCCTGGGCTTACTGGGCCAGAGTACCTAGAGTCCCTTGGCCTCAGACCCGTGGGTAGGGCCAGCTCATGTCCTCATCTGCCCAGGCAGGACACACTTGGGCTCTGGGCTGGGGGAGGACTGCTGCCCCCCTGGTGCTCCCTGAGTTCTGGCTGTCAGCTCATCAGTGCCATCCCCAGAGTGATGATGGGGTTCAGGTCAGGGCTGTGGGCATACCAAGGCCAGTGGGGGCAGCAGGCTGTCCCCTGCACAGGAGGTTCTGTGGCTGCTCCATGGTCTCGCTCCTGGCTGCTGCCTCAAGCAAGCAACGGAGTCATAGGACCCTGGGAGTCACGGTGCTCCAGGGCAGGGCCTGAGCACACCCTCTGAGGGTGTTGTAACGTGTCTGTGTTCTCTCTTTTGATGGCTTTCTAAAAAGGAAAAAGCATTTTCACTTTGACTTTACCCTAAGGTATGGCTCTCAAGCCTGCGCCAACCCTGTCTTTTGCCAGGCTGGTCTTTAGGGCTTGTTTAGCAGAGTCTCTGTCCACATTCACTGTTTTGGTGCCCTTTTTCTGGGCTGGGAGTTGGGTCTTGAGAGCTGGCAGCTGCCCAGCCAGAGCCTGCAATGGGGAAGGAGAGGCGGCCCCACAGAGGTCTCTTGGGGCTAAAGAGCAGACATGAACCCTTGTCCCTGGGCCGAGCCTCCCGCACCGAGGCAGGAGAGCTGCAGATAGGTCCTGCTGTTCCCAGCTGGGCCTATGTGTGCTGAGGGCCAGCTGGACAGGCCTCCCCTCACCTGCCTCCATCCAGCGTTCTGTTCAGCCCTCCGAAAAGTTCGGCTGTTAAGTCAGCCTTCCTTCTTTAGAGTAGGAGCAAGATGGGTCACAGACACCGAGAAACCAGCCAGTGGGGCCCTAGTACTTCATGTCTGTTAGCCTTCCGGCAGCCCTGGGAGGGATGTTAACACAGCCTTCCATGTGAGGACGTTGAGGCCAGTGACCACAGAGCTTGCCCAGTACTGTGGTTGCTGCAGAGTCCTGCTCTTAGGGCCTCCCCACCTCCCGAGGCCTCCCTGGCTCCTGGGTCCAGCCAAGAGCTGCAGAACAGTCCTTCCATTGTCCTCTGAGACTTAACTGGGGAGTGGCCAGACCCCTGAGACTCCCAGACAGAGACAGCTCCTTGCTTTAACCTGGCATGTGTTGGCTGAGTCCCGGGCCCAGGAGCTGCCCCTCAGTCAGTAATCCTCCTTGCCAAGCACGTCCAGATGGAGCCCATGGAGCTCTCTCTCCATGTCTTCTGCCCTCTTTGGCCATCTGTTGCCCTGGGAAAGTGCCCCCACCCTCACCCTCCACCCCAGTGCAAGGCAGTTGGGGCTTGGACCTCCTGGGAGTACTGCAGGCCAGGGCTTACACAGGAGACACAAGAGGGGGCTGAGAGTTCATATCTATCTGCTAAACAAGCCTTAGTGGGCAAGAAAGACCAGCTGTGGGGCCTCTGCCGCTGACCCTGGGCTTCTTGCAGCCATGGCACGAGGGTCTGCAGCATGCGCTCGCCTGGGCCATGGGCCAGCTTGTCGTCCTCCCGGGGGGTTCACCTGAAGCCGCAGGCAGGGCTTCCAGAGGCCCTGACATCTCCTGCGCCCTGTGCCTCCTGCCCCTGCCTGCGTGTTACAGGGGTGACACCGGCTCCCTGGGGTGGGGCCCTGAGCAGTGTGTCAGCCTTTGCTGGCTCTGATGGGGAGGCTGCCTGTTCCATCTAAAGGAGGAGTTGGCTAGGAGGCTGGGTGTGGCGGCAGCGGCACTACCCTGATGTGGTCAACCCCACTCCAGCTGGGCTCCCTGTGACAGCATCTGCAGGAAGGGTGCCTGCTCTTTCTTCCCCATGGAAACTGTGGCTAGAAAGCGACACCTGTGAGAGCGGGCTGGGCTCTTAGGTCAGCCACAGCCTGGGGCATCTGTGCCCCCATGCCTGCTGCAAGTCACGAGCCAGACCGCAGCCCACCCCCGCCATCCACAGTGTGCTCCTCAGATGCCTGGCCACTGCCCCAGAGCACTCGTGCAGAGTCCTTGGCAGCCTCTCTGTCCAGGGCCAGGGTGAGTATCTCAGCGTCAGCCAGTGTCACCCCTGCCATGCCGGTCTGTGTCCAGTGTTGGCTGCTGTCTGCATGGCCCAGCGGCACAGCTTGGCTTTGAGAGTTCTAGCAACCTCCCTGTGTTGTGAGATCTCCACAGTTGGCCCCTGCGTGCCCGAGAACAAATCATGGGCGGGAGGCCCCCAAGGGGTCTGGCTTGTGGAGAGCAGTTGGCCCTGGGGATTGGGGCTGCCTGTGCCTGGGACCAGCAGCCACCACCTGCCCCATGACTTCCCACAACTGGGAGGATGTGGTGTCGCTGAGATTCCCAGGCCCAGACCTACCTGAAGAGGACAGCAGGACCCCATGTTGATGGCCTCACCTGGGCAGCCTGCCTGGCCGCAGACAGAGCCAGGGTGACAAAGGGCCAAGTGGCTGCCCTGAACCATGAGGCTGAGGCTTGGGCACAGGGTGGGTTGTGCTGTGTTGTCTCAGATGGACACGAGGAGGGAAAGCTCCTTTAGCTCTCCTAGAAATGAAGCAAGGCCTAGGAATGTGGTATCTGCAGCAGGCAGATAGACCTGCAGGTCGTTCTGCTCCAAGGCATTTGCCAGGCCTTTGCAGAGGGTCTAGGGAGGACAGGCCCTGCTGGCTGCTGACTTCTCACTTCTCACACCAGTGCTACAGTGACCACAGGTGAGGTGGCACCTGCTGGGATTGGCTTCTGGTGACTGCTCGCTGGGTGTGGACTCCAGGCTGGCCCCAGCCCAGCCCACCTGCTGGACTTGTGGAACACTGTGGCAGCACCAGGCACAAGCCTCTTCCCCAAGGACTCCTGGGAGGGTTGCTGGTCCTAGGAGTTGGCATGCCAGGCCTACTTCCTGCAGAGGACTCTCCAAGTGACCCTGTCCTGGATGACACTCCAAGGGAGGGCCAGGAATTCGGGAGCAGGATTGTCCCTTAGCCTGTCCCTGGTGCTCCATCCACACCCTGTGCATGTGCAGTCTCCTCCCTCAGGACACTGGGGAAATGAGATGGAAAAAACGTAGCCAGGAGAACGGGCCCGGGAGATGGCTCAGTTGCCGATGCCAAGGACATGGGGTGAACACCTCTGTCCCTAAATGCAGGCCACACAGGAGCCTTGAGGCCAGGGAAGGAAGGAGGGGAGGTTGAACTGGCCCACTACCCAGGGCCAGCTGGAAAGAGACACCCTTCCAGCAGCTGAGGAGCCTTGTTCTCCAAGCTAGCCTTGTCTCGTGGGAGAGTTCCCGCCACAGCCCAGGTGTAGTGGGGATGGTCTGTGAGGAGCCTGCCACAAGAGGAGCCACTGGACAGCCCTACCTGGGCCATAGCATTGGGAAAGGATGGTGATGGGTCCTCTCAGAAGTCCTAGGCTTCTGCCCTTGGACCCCCAGCATCTTCCCCATGGATGCGGGCCATGACCAGACCTCCAAGGAGGCCATACTTCTGCCAAATGTACAGAGCCAAGTCCAGACAGAACTCCACCCACGCTGAGCATGTCATGCAGGGCCCAGCACACAGGTGTGGGACCAGCCTGTAGCAGGCTTGGGTGTCATTGTGTCAGAACATGGCAGGCCACCTGTCACCACAGCCACAGGCCTGGACTCTGTTGGCACTGATATCATCCAGGTTGCCAAGCACCTGGAATGGAGAAGCTGCATTCTCAGACCTCCTCGCACAGTGGCCGCCCTCCTTGCTGGCCTCACACCCTGGTGCACAGAGGCCTGCCTGCCCCTCCTAGTGTGGGCACATTGGAAGGATCCAAGTGTCTGGGCCCAGAGGCCAGGCCGGGGCAGACAGTGGGACTGGGAGTGGCTAGGATGCACTGGACAGAGCCAGCTAGGGCAGGGCTATACAGTGAGGCCTGGCTCTGGGACTACCACCAGCCTCTCAGCCCAGGAGGACCATGCTGCCTGAGCTGCATGCACGTGGACGGGGTGCATGAGGAGAGCCTAACTGTCTGTTTCCTTGCTCTTAGCCCTGATGAAGAGTCATCTCAGAAGTTCATTCCCTTCGTTGGGGTGAGTACCAGCCACTTTCCTTGGTTAACTAACCTGTCAGATGCCTTGACCTGATACATTCTGGAAGTTTCCTCCCAGATCTGGTGATTTGCCCTTTGTCTTCCTGAAGCACACTTCCTTTCCATCTGAGGGGGCCATGACCAGGCTTATTCCCTAGCTCTGCCCAGGCCAACACTAACACCGTCGGGTGGGTCGTGGAGCCAGTTCGAGCACCTGGGCTCCAGGACGTTGGGCCAGCCTGAGTTTCGGGAGAGGAGACTCCACCTGCCTGTGGTGGAAGGGTGCCTCGGTCCTCCTAGTCCTGTAGCTGTGCAGGTTCCAATCCCATGCTTCTGGGGACCAGGCCATCTCCCTGGCAGCCCATTTCCCTGGACTGTTTTCTGCCTGCCTGTTTACTCTGTCATGTGGCCTCCCTCCAGCTGAAGCATCTGCTGTGAGGCCTGTGGGGAACTGGGGCCCTTGTGTGCACTGTGCTGGGGTTGGGCCCTTGGTGAACAGCCAAAGCAATGACCAACATCTCTGGGAGGAAGGAACTCGTCTAGAGCAGCCTTCCAAGAGTTTTCTGTGGTGATGAGAGTGCCCCGAGCTCTCGGGCACTCGAATGTCCCGGGTGCCTGAGGTCCCACTCTGTCATGGGAATTCCTTTGAGATATGCTGGGCCTGGCAGGTTGGGGCCCTGGCCTTGTTGGCCCACACAAGTTTAGGAACAGTGCTTGCCTCCAAACAAGGCCCTGGCTGCTCAAGTCCCTCCTGTCAGCATCCTGGTCCTGCTGCTACCCCAAGGGTCACCGCAGGGAGAGGGCTGCCCTCCTGCTGAAGTCAAGGTCTCTGAGCACTGTCAGTCCCCATGTGACTGCTCCAAGCTTGGCACTGCCCATGATTGGGGACCTGACCCATCCCACCACCACTAGCCAGCGTCTTGCTTTCCAGGTTGTGAAAGTTGGACTTGTGGAGCCATCCTCAGCCACATCAGGTAGCCCTATCCCACCCTGATTCTGTGTGAGTGACCCCTGGGAGGGGTGGTCCCAGGGTCCTGGCGGGCACCCTGAGCCCAGGGAGCACTGTCTCTCCAGTCTCACAGACCAGACCAGCCTTGCAGGCCCCTGAGCAGCCACTCTCCACCCCACTGTAGGGCTGCTCAGGTGGGAGAGCAGCCTCCTAGCTGCTGTCTCACAAGGGTCCAGGCCAGGCAGCATAGCAACTCTCCCAAGCAGAGAGGAGACTCTGAAAATGTCCTGCCTGGCACACAGGCCACTGGGGACTCCAGGCTCCCTGGGCTTCTGGCCATGTCTTAGTCCACAGGGCATGATGCCACCTGGGGCAGAGCACCGGTGGGCTCACCCCGCCTGTGACTCCTCCCCAAAGGTGACTCGGATGATGCAGCTCCCTCGGGCTCTGCTGTGCTCTCCTCCACCCCGCCCTCGACATCTCCTGCAGCCAAGGAGGCCTCACCCACACCACCCTCCTCCCCATCGGTGAGCGGAGGCTTGTCCTCCCCCAGGTAAGGCACCTGCTTGGCCCAGCTCCCTCTGACTTGCGCAAATCCCTGCTTGCTGCTCCACGGTGTTGCCCTCCCCTACCTCTCCATGTTCTGGCCTGTCATCCCTGCAGGCAGGTACAGGTGGGGTCCTGCTGAGGACTTTATGGTTGGCTGGATGTGGCTGGTCATCTTCCATCATAAGACATTCTGGCTACCTCCTGCCACAGAGCCTGGGGACCTGGTGTCTTTCCAGAGTATCTCAGGGGCAGAGACCATGCTGGAAACATGCATGGGTGCCATATAGGACCCTCTCTCTGCTCTGTGCACATCTGGTCTTTTACAAGACAAACTGAGGGTATGCGGTGCAGGGGGCGGGTCTCCAAACAGTCCTCATTGGGTCAGCCTTGACAGCAGTGCTGAACCCACCAGGCCCCGGAGGTCTCCAGCGTGGAGTCTACCAAGACAATACAGCTCCCTGGGTATATTGGAGATCAGGCGTGGTGCCAGCGCCCGGGAGGCTCCCCAGCAGACAGACCCCCAGGCCAGCACCCCCAGCAGGCCCGGCATCGAGACGCTCCCTAGCAGACCCAAGGACCAGCTTCTTGAGTCCTTCTGACTCCAGAGGCAGCTAGGCGAGCAAGGGGCAGGCCTAGACCGTGGTTGTCCTGTTGCTGGCACCCTGTGGTTTGTCCAGGACACTCCTGGGCATGCTCCAAGCCCCTAGCTCGCCTCCACTGGCCAGCAGGTTGGGGCAGGTGCTGGCTGTCAACCCCAGCCTGTGACAGGGACAGTAAGGCCACCCTCACTAGGCCCAAGGGCTGAGGACACAGGTGTGAGCACCTCCCTCTGCCTCTCTCAGCCAGGGTGTCGGCGCCGAGCTGATGGGGCTGCAAGTGGACTACTGGACGGCAGCGCAGCCCACAGACAGGAAGAGGGACGCGGAGAAGAAGGACCTGCCCACCGCCAAAAACACGCTCAAGTGCACTTTCCGGTCCCTCCAGGTCAGCAGGCTGCCCAGCAGTGGCGAGGCTGCAGCCACGGCCACCATGTCCATGACTGTGGTCACCAAGGAGAAGAACAAGAAGGGTGAGGTGGGGACAGGCTGAGTGGCTCAATGGTGGGAGAGGGACAGCCCTGATGACTATTGGGTCAGGCAGGCCCAGGGCTGGCCTCAAAGGAGTGGCAGGCCAGACTGCATGGGCCGTGGTGAGTAGTGAGAGCCCTGGGGCAACTGAGAGCAAAGCCCTGTCTGACTGGAGCCCCAGTAGAGGCCGGCAGGGCAGACAGAAGGGCAGCTGCCCGAGGTCACAGGGAAGCCAGGCCTCCCAGCTGAGGTGGTCTGAGGCCACCTGAGTCCCTGACCATCCCTCCTGCTCTGAGCCACTGCCCACCTGTCCTGCGTGGCACAGGGGCTCTGGCCAGCCTGGCCCCCAGGAGCGATGGGAGACAGCAGTGCCCCTTTTCCTCTAGTGATGTTTCTGCCCAAGAAAACCAAGGACAAGGACGTGGAGTCCAAGAGCCAGTGCATTGAGGGCATCAGCCGGCTTATCTGCACAGCCAAGCACCAGCAGAACATGCTGCGGGGTGAGCACTGGGACCTGGCCCACTTCAGTCCTGGGGGTTCCCTGTGTACACTGGGGTCCAGCCCACTTCAGTCCCGGGAGTTCCCTGTGTACACTGGGGTTCAGCCCATGTTGGTCCTGCGGGATTCTGTGTGTACACTGGGGCCCGAACCACCTTGGTCCTATGGGTTCCAAGTGTAAAACGTGGAAGGAGGCAGGGCGGTCTCGGGGCTGCTTTGAAAGCCCCCATGGGGCTGGTGGCTGTTTGCTGTGATGTGCATGACGCAGTCCAAGGGGGACGCAACACTTGTGCGGCCAACCGCTTTTCAAACACTAAGGCACCGTTTTTCAGTCCTTTCTGCTTTGTCAAGTTGGCTTGTATATTTCAATGTGTTTTTACAGAAGACCTTTTGCAAGTAGCCAACTCAGAAATGGAGCTCTCAAAGCCGTTTCTGTTTCTGTGAGCTCGAGTCTGATTGCCTCAAGGCCAGACAGCCTTGTCTTCCCACGTGACTTGTTTTAAGGTGGGGGGGTCCGATGGAGGGTGGTCTCTGGGTTTGCGGAGTCTTACCGCACACCACTGTGGTAGAAGCAGGGATAACCAGCAGCACACAAGGAGGGCCACGGAGCCTGTTTCTCCCACTTGCCTACCCCCCACGCTAGCCCCGCCCCCCACATACACACTATGGCTCTGAGTTGTGAAAAGGCAGGCAGCAGAAGGTGCCTCCCTTGGGCCAGTGTGCCACTTTCTGGCTGTCTAGCCTGCAGTTGAGCGGGCAGGCAGGCAGGCAGGCAGTCAGGCAGCCCTCTCCCACAGTCCTCATCGATGGCGTGGAGTGCAGCGATGTCAAGTTCTTCCAGCTGGCCGCCCAGTGGTCCTCGCACGTGAAGCACTTCCCCATCTGCATCTTTGGACACTCCAAGGCCACTTTCTAGCCCTGACCATGGAGGGGCCCACGCAGGACAAACAGCAGAGGGCCCCACGGCCTGCTCAGGGGCACCTGCTGCATTTCTGTTAACATTTCAGTTTACTACAGAGACAGACCCTTAAACGCAAAGAGAAGCAGTCTTACGTATGAATGTCCTCACAACCCAAGAACTAACGGGCAGCTCCCCGCTGGGAGCTGAGTAACCGCTCTGCTTATTAACCAGAACTGGCAGGGGACTGGGCAATCAGGCAGATGGTGCTGAGCTGAGAATCTGAGGGTGCCCTGGCTTCAGGAGCTGCCAGAGCCCCATATGCTTAGGGTGATCTTGTCTTTGCGTCCTGTCCTTCCCGGAGGCCAGGACCTGCTTCCTCAGGGAGCCTGGGCTGTGTGCAGGCCACGGAGTTTGGGGCCCCTGTTGGGGTGTCCTGAGTAAGCCTCAGAGGCCAATCAGCCCAGGGCTCCAGGCCCTGCCTGCCTGAGATGCCCCCGGCACCGCCCACTCGTGGTTCCCAATAAGCTCTAGCCTCGTGCGGAGGTTTTATAGTAGCAGATATTTTTAATGCTTTTAAATACATGTTATAATGTAGCTGCCAAACAGACGTTGCTCTTCTGAAGTCCCCTTGGGGCTGGGCAGAGCCAGCAGACCCTGCACCCCATCCCCACCCACCCACCTCACCCCATCCAGTGTCCTCAGGCTGTTCTTGAGACATGCCAGGCTGCTGGGTGTTATTGTTGACCCCAGACTTAGCAAGCACAGGGGCCTCTACAGCCCCAGGCAGCCAGCAAGAGTCCCAGAGTCCAGCCTGGGAAACGGTGAGATGCTGCTGGGGCAGGTCTGAGGCAGAGGCCACAAGCCCTTTTCCTGCCTGCTCTGCCTCATCCTTCTGGACCCACCCCCAGCAGAAGCGTCCAAGACCAGCCATGTGGGTACTTGGGTTGAGACTCAGGTTTTGGTGAATGTGTATGTGTTCCCTGCAGCAATAGTGTGGCCAGTGAAGGCTGGAGCGGGTTGGCCTGACCAGCAGACTCAGCACTTTGGAGCTATGGTTGCAGCCAGGAGCCCTTTATAAGGTGCACTCTTGAGAGCAGTGTTTTGTGTTGGGGGTCCCATCCTCGGTGGCATTGCCTTCCACACAGCAGGAGCAGGGTGTCCTGATCTACAGCCAGGGTCTTCGTCTGATCACACCTCAGGCCTGCTTCCCTTCTTCTTTCCTGACAGACCTGCACCAGGACCTCCATGGGAAGGGCACACCCAGCTCCCAAGCCCTTGGAGGCTGGGGCCTTCCAAGGGACATGGGTGGCCCTTGGGGGCTCTGGACATGGTGTCCTAAGAAGGAGAGCTGCAAAGGGCTGCGCTCAGAAAACAGTGCCAAACAGGGTGGGCCAAGGGCCAGAGTAAGAGGGTTCTCAAACTCATTGGGCCAAGTGATGACCCATCATCTTTCCCTGTTACCCACCTGCCCTCCCCTCAGATTGCTGAACTTGTGCTTTTGTCCATGGCCCACGCCTTGGGACTCAGAAGGGGCCTGGGGCATGGCCCCCACCCATTAGGTTCAGGCCCAGAGGTGGTCCACATGCAGGATGTCTGGCAGAGGGCCCTCCCATCCAGGTACCTCTTTGCCGAAACACCTAGGCCTCCAGCTCCACCAGGGGCCAGAGCAGAGGTGGGAGAGGAGGCCTGCCCTGCCCTGCCTTGCGGGCCAGGGTGAGGGTGTGGGCCTGGGCCAATGGCCTCTGCCCAGTCTACTCAGAAGCAGGCTCGGGGACCCTGCCTCTCCCTCTGTCCCACTAGCCCCTGCACTGGGCTGCAGAGCCTCTGCTTTTTGCCCTTCCACTGTCCTTCCTAGGGGTTACACTGGGCAAGAAGGGAAGGTGGAAACATCCTTGGTTTGGCTTTGTATCTTCAGTAGGTTTCAGAGGAAGGGGCCACAGGGGCTGCCCAACCCATCGCTGCTGTGGACAGTCCCTTTCCTGGAGCCTCCCACTCCCACATCTCCTTGCTTGGCTTCAGGGCACCATCCTTGCCTACCCAAGGGGTAAACGGGTAAACAGGGGTAGAGCTTCCATCCAGCAGTTGGAGGTCCCTGTGCCTCCCCCTGGCCTGCAGAGCTCAGCTATCACCTCAGAGCCATGCTGTCCACACCCCCCTCAATATGCCCTGTGCCAGGGAAGTTGGACAGACAGACCAGGGCTATGTTCACCCCTCTGTGCCTCGGTTTCCCCGTTGGTTAAACAGGATGGTCGCATTTCCCTTGCCTACCTCACAGGGCTGTTCTGAGGGTATGTAGAAAATCACTCTGTCCCCTCAAAGGATGACTAGAAGCCAAAGCCATCTGACAGCCATTGCGGCCATGAGGGCAGAGAGGGTAGTGGGTGTGCAAGGTATGTGCATCCCTCGGGCCTCAGCTCTGAAGTAGCCAGGCACTCCAGCACAGGAGGCAGCCCCCTTAGCGCATGGGCCCAGCCTCATCAGAGTCTCAGAAGTTAAGCCACCAGTCACTGCCTGGCAACATAAGGCTCTCCTTGGTCCTGGTGGCCACTGTCCACTGTCATGGGGTGGACTCTGCCCTTGTCCAGGCTAGGTGGGGGCCGGCCCCACCCTGTAACTCTGCCAGCTGCCTCCTTCCATTTTGGTCCTCTTGACCCCCATCTCCCCTGAGCACAAAGGCCAGTGTCCTAGGTCAGTGCCTCAGCTGGAGCTGGGGGAGAAGAGGGCTCCTGTCTAGGACTCCTGCAGGGGGCTAGCAGCCTTGCCACCCTGTCCTCATTCCCAGAAGACCTGAGTGCCTCCAGCCTTTGTCCAGGAGCAAGTTCCTCATGAGAACGACCAGGCCACTTCTTCTGAGGGCTGAGCTGCCAGAGCCACTCGTGTTCGTGACCCCTTCCCAGACCTGTCCTGTCCTCCATGGGGGTGGGGGCTGAGGGGCCGGGGGCTGGCTCTGTGGGCACCACTGTGCGAGTCTGCAGACTCCCGTGCGGTTCATTGTGCATTGCTGGTTCTTAGGGTGTTTGTGTTGCTAGTGTTTTTTTTTTGTTTGTTTGTTTTGTTTTTATGAAAACAATGTAAATAGCTTTCTGGGGACGATTCTAATCTGTCACATGTGTGACCCTGTGGACTATTTTACGGTGCTGCTGCGACACTAATAAACCTGGAAGGGCACTCCCGGGCTCTCGCCTGCCGTGTGATTCTGTCGGGCCGCGCACCTTGAGGCCGGACAAGGCGCCCCCAGCCCCTCAACACACCCCGCAGTCCCCTGTCTGCTGCGGGCTCCGCGCTCGGGGTGCCCAGGGCGGGGCGCAGGGCCGAGGACTCAAAGCTCAGGTCCGCGCCTCGGTAGACCCCGAGGCCGGCGCCCGGAAGGGATCCCGATGAGGGTGCCGGAGGAGCCAAGAAGGCTGGGGACCCGAGACCGCGAAGCACGGAAGGCGGGCGCGGCGCAGGCCGAAAGCCGTAACGGAGGGGCGGGCTTTGCCGGAGCGGAAGTTCCGGAGCGAGGCTCCGCCCCCGGGCCGCCTCGAGCCTCGGGGAGTCCCACCCTTCCCTCTGTGGTCCCGCCCCCTTCAGGCCCTCCGCGTACCCCACCCCTCCCCCACTGGTCGCCACACCCACGCTCTCGCCCCGCCCCAGCCTCTCCTGTGTGACCTCCCTGCTCCGCCTCCCCGTCCCTCCGCGGACCCCCCCTGGGCCTGCAGGCCTCAGGAGAGGGCAGGCGCGTGAGGGGCTGGCCGGGCTTGGGCGTGGTCTGGGCTGCGAGGTGAGGTCCCAGGGTCGGCAGGAGGGCGGTGAGGGGAGCTGCGGGCCCTCGCCCCCGGGAAGGCGGGGTCCTGGGGGCGGGGGGAGAGGCTCTCCTGCTGTCCCGGGGGCTGAGACGCGGCGCCCCCATAGCCTGGGGAAGCCGACCCGGGCTGGGGAGGCGGGGCGGAGAGAGGCCTGCGAGGGCTTCTGGTTGGGGGGCTGCCTGGAGAAGGGCCGCGACGGGAGTGGGGCGAGGTCCCGCACCTCCCCGAGGGGCCGACCGTTGGGCTCAC